CGCCCACAAGGAAGGAAATAAAAAACTAAAGTTGCCTGCTCTAAGGGCTGCACCTCTGTTTAGCCAACAATTTTCTTGAGGCCAGTCATAGTGCTAGGCTCATGCCATCATCTCCAGTTCTGAGATCAACACTGTCTGGCAGGTATTTTATGGATGAGGAAACCAAAGCTCATAAAATTAAGTGGTTTGTTTATGCAGTAATGCAAGAAAGTGACAGTACTGGGAGGTGGAACCAGTTTTTTTCTTCTTTTTTTTTTTTTTTTGAAGGAGTTTCACTCTTGTCACCCAGGCTGGAGTGTAATGGAGCAACCTCAGCTCACTGCGACCTCTGACTCCCGGTTTCAAGCGATTCTCCTGCCTCAGCCTCCAGGACAGCTGGGATTACAGGTGCCCGCCACCCGGCCCGGCTAATGTTTTGTATTTTTAGTAGAGATGGGGTTTCACCATGTTGGCCAGGCTGGTCTCCAACTCCTGACCTCAGGTGATCCACCTGCCTCGGCCTCCCAAAGTGGTGGAATTACAGACGTAAGCCACCGCGGCTGACCCAGGCTTTTCTTTTTGATTCTAAAGGCCCTCCAGATCCAGTACTTTATCCTGACCCTGCAGAGCTCAGGATCTGTGGTTCAGGCCTGGGGCTGAATATGGAATTCATATTCATATGAATATGGGACACAGGTACATTCCGGGCAAGTGTGAGGGGGGTCTGGCTTCCGGGGCCCGCCATAGGCCCCTAGTCCCAGGGCCTGTATTGGAGGAGAGATTGACTCTTTTCTCTGCCCATCCTGGGATGGGAAGTCGGGGCCTTGGGACAGATGCAGTACAACCCCTGCTCCTGGAAACTGACAGAGACCCACCGAATCCAGCCCCTATTCCTAGGCTGGGCCCCTGCCCATCTCCCTGACCACACCACTCTGAAGGGCTCTCATTTGCAGACACCCCATTGCCCTTCTAAAAACCTCTCCCGGCCAAGCTCGGTGGCTCATGCCTGTAATCCCAGCACTTTGGGAGGTGGAGTTGGGTAGATCACCTGAGGTCAGGAGTTCCAGACCAGCCTGGCCAACATGGTGAAACCCTGTCTCTACTAAAAATACAAAAATTAGCTGGGTGTAGTGGGGGGCGCCTGTAATCCCAGCTACTCAGGAGGCCGAGGCAGGAGAATTGCTTGAACTCGGGAGGCAGAGGTTGCAGTGAGCTGAGATCCTGCCACTGCGCTCCAGCCTGGGCAACCGAGCAAGACTGTCTCAAAAAAACAAATGAAAAACCTTTCTCACCCATTCAGTCAGTCCCCAAGTCTTAGCTCAGTCCCATGAGTGACAGTGCATGTCAGTGGCCATCATATCTCAAGCCATCCTGGTCCCAACATACATTCCAGGGAAAAGAAGGAATCCTGGGGCCTTGGGAATTGATTCAAAGCAGAACAGCTTCATGAATGGCCCGGCCAACGGAAGGCAGCCTAGGCTGAGCCCTACTGTCCCCTCCCTGTCATCTGATGAGTAGACCACCAGGGAGCCACACACATGACAGATGATGAGGGCAGAGGCTGCAAGACAGATACCTGCTAGGTCTCCGTGTCAGGTACAGTGGCTGCTTAGGAATGAAGCACATGGGCCGGCTGTGGTGGCTCATGCCTGTAATCCCAGCACTTTGGGGGGCCGAGGCGGGTGGATCACTTGAGGTCAGGGGTTCGAGACCAGCCTGGCCAACATGGTGAATCCCCGTCTCTACTAAAAAATACAAAAATTAATCGGGCGTGGTGGCACATGCCTGTCATCCCAGCTATTCGGGAGGCTGGGGCACGAGAATCACTAGAACCTGAGAGGCGGAGGTTGCACTGGGCCGAGATCGCACCACTGCACTCCAGCCTGGGCGACAGAGCGACACTCCATCACAAAAAAAAAAAAAAAAAAGAGTGAGGCAAATGGACTTTGGAGTCACATGGACCCTGGTTTGAATCCTCACAACTCCTATAATGGCTGTGTGACCTTGAGCAAGCCACTCAGCCACTCTGAGCTTCAGCTTCCTGTCTATAACAGTGGGGGCTGCTCTGGTCCTGCTGCACGGCCACACCTCTGATATGTGGTGTCAACAAGTGCTCAGTTCTGCCAAGACCTGGGCTTCCCTCCAACTCCCATTAGAAACCAGCCCATCTGGGATTCCTTCTCCAAAAGAGCACTGAGCTTGCCAGACCCAGCTGTACCTGAAGTCAACGACAGGAACTGCCTGGAGGGGGGTCATTTTCCTGTGTCCGAGGATAGGCACCTCGGCTCCAACTGGGCTGCTGGCCTGGGGGTTGCTCTCTCCCTCCTGCACTCCCTGTCATTTGTATCAAAGTCCTTTTCTCCATTGCTTCCTGAGTGGGTCATTAGGTGGAGATCCACAGCCTTCCTCCATCCTGATCACATGAATTCCCCCAATCTGGAAAGTATTCACAATTTTGTGTCACTAATTCCAGAGACTAATAGAGATTACACACACACATACACAGGCCTTCAAATGACAACCTGCCAGGAGAAAAATGCTATTTTTTTTTTTTTTTTTGAGACGGAATCTTGCTCTGTCGCCCAGGCTGGAGTGCAGTGGCGCGATCTCGGCTCACTGCAAGCTCCGCCTCCAGGGTTCACACCATTCTCCTGCCTCAGCCTCCCAAGTAGCTGGGACTACAGGCGCCCGCCGCCACGCCCAGCTAATTTTTTGCATTTTTAGTAAAGACGGGGTTTCACCATGTTAGCCAGGATGGTCTCGATCTCCTGACCTCATGATCCACTCACCTCGGCCTCCCAGAGTGCTGGGATTACAGGCGTGAGCCACTGCGCCTGGCCGAAAAATTCTGTTAAGGGAAAGATATCACTTTGGGAAGCCAAGGCAGGTGGATTGCTTGAGCCCGGAAGTTTGAGATCAGCCTGGGCAACAAAGGGAGACCCCGTCTCTACAAAAAAACCAAACAAACCACAAAAATTAGCTGGGCGTGGTAGCACGCACCTGTAGTCCCAGCTACTTGGAAGGCTGAGGTGGGAGGATCACTTGAACCCAGGAAGCAGAGGTTGCAGTGAGCCAAGGTCACACCACTGCACTCCAGCCTGGGCAACAGACAGACCATTTCCTTGTTTCCAAAAATGAAAAAGGGAACGATATTATTGGGTCAACAGAGAAAACTAGAGTGTGAACAGTAAACTGGATAAAATAATTGCAACAATGTTCAATTTACTGAAGTTGGTAAAGGAAACGTGATTGTGTAAGAGAATATCCCTGTTCTCAGAAAAGACTCACTTAAGTATTTGGTGGTAAATGGTATATGTAACTTTCCCTTGAACGATCCAGGAAAATAATGCACATCCATTTATACACATATCATAGATACTCATAGACATTTGCTTATACGCACTTACCACAGGCACTGATTATAGACACACATACACACATATGAGTGAGAGGGAGAGGGAGGGAATGGAGGAGGGAGACAAAGTGATCGAATAATGAAACAAGGGTAAAATGTTATCGATTGAGAGTCTGGCTAAAGGGCATGTGAGTATTTTTCATACAATTTTAATTTTGCAACTTTTATTTTTGAGACAAAGTCTCACTTTGTTGCTCAGGCTGGGGTGCAATGGCACAATCTCACTGCAACCCCGTCTCCTGGGTTCAAGTGATTCTCCTGCCTCAGCCTCCTGAGTAGCTGGGATTACAGGTGCGCGCCACCACGCCCAGCTAATTTTTGTGTTTTCAGTAGAGATGGGGTTTCACCATGTTACCCAGGCTGGTCTCGAACCCCTGACCTCAAGTCATACACCCACCTTGGCCTCCCAAAGTGCTGGGATTACAAGTGTGAGCCACGTGCTTGGCCACAACTTTTCTGTAACTATTCGAAGTAAAAAAAAAAAAAAAGATAACCTCTAAACCTCAACTTACTTTGTCTAACTTTTATAGACAGAGCCTATGTTATTTGCTCTGGGGTTTTCCATTTTAAACCTGACCTTTCTGGCTCTGGGGTTTTCCATTTTAAAACTGACCTTTCTGGTTCCGGGTGAAGGCAAAGACAGATGACATAGGATTATAGTATGTCTGTATGTTTTCAACTATTTCTCCTGAAACTTGGAAACATATTAGACCATGTGGGACACCACGCAGATGGGAACGGGAGATAAATGTGTGTTCATATATACTCCTCCACAAATATATATGTCTCGGGCTGGGCGTGGTGGCTCACGCCTGTAGTTCCAGCACTTTGGGAGGCCAAGGCAGGCAGATCATTTGAGGTCAGGAGTTTGTGACCAGACTGGCCAACATCGTGAAACCCTATCTCTACTAAAAATACAAAAATGAGCAGGGCGTGGTGGTGGGCACCTGTAATCCCTGCTACTCGAGAGGCTGAGGCAGAGGAATCATTTGAACCTGGGAGACGGAGGCTGCAGTGAGCCCAGATCGCGCCATTGCACTGAAACCTGGGTGACAGAGTGAGACTCCGTCTCAAAAGAAACCCCAAAAACCAAAAAGCAAATATACACGTCTCTCTCCCTATTTCTCTGTTGATTGATTTAAACTTCGAGATGCCAACTACAGTGCCTATCAGGCTGGCAGGCAGGTAATGTGAATGAATGAAACAGGCCAGGCAGAAGAAAAGTCAAGTACCAATACTACGATAAAACTTTCTTGATTTTTACTGAGTAGTGAGGCATACAATGTCATATAAACAAGTATGATACTGCAGATTATATTTCTGATTCAAAGTGGAAAAAAAACTGAAAAAAAAAGATGTTTAAGAATTCATTCTGTCGGCTGGGCACAGTGGTTCATGCCTGTAATCCCAGCACTTTGTGAGATCGAGGCGGGTGGATCACCTGAGGTCAGGAGTTCGAGACCAGCCTGGCCAACATGGTGAAACCCCGTCTCTACTAATACAAAAATTAGCCAGGCCTGATGGCGAACGCTTGTAGTCCCAGTTACTCGGGAGGCTGAGGCAAGAGAATCGTTCGAACCTAGGAGCTGGAGGTTGCAGTGAGCTGAGATTGCGCCACTACACTCTAGCCTGGGCGACAGAGCAAGACGCCGTCACAAAAAAGAAAAAAATAATTCATTTTGTCATCTCCTTTGGGCCTAGAAGACTCCAGCCCTTCCCACCATAGGGTCCTGCCAGGAGTTTTCTCTCTATCACGTTGCGATGTGCAGTACAGAGTCCCACTGGGAATCCTTTAACTGGGAGCAGTATTTTGTTTTGCTCAGTTTCATAATGGAGAAGAGCTGCTCGCAGATGTAGGTGCTCCCGAACATGGAGAGAACCTTTGCGCAGTGGTGCTTGTATTTCGGGTAGCTGCCCCAGAGGTACTTGTAGAATTCTGGTATTCCCACCTTGTCGTATTTCGTCTTCAGGACCGTGTTGCATTGCAGGTCGATCACCTCCATCTGGAGCTCCTCGTGCACACTGTCGATCTTCATGGAGAACGGGGAGCTGAACACAGCCAGTTCGCTTTCGTAGAGTTTGAAATCGGACAGCCTTTTCTGGAATTCGGCCTTGAGTTCCGCGATTTTGGGAATGTAGTTCAGGCCATCGCTTTCATTTCTGGAAACCGATTTCAGGGTGGGAAAGTGGGCCAGATTATTCCTCCCCAAATGAGTCTCCCAGAGGCACAGTTTTGCTAGGAACGCCCGGATCAAGTCATACATCTGCGTGACGATTTGGGAGTGCCCTTGGAGAGAGATGTTCAAAGTGTTCAGGTGCATCGTCATGTCAACCAAGAAGGCCAGGTCTCGGATCCAATCTATGGAGCTCAGTTGAGGCAGGGGTTTGCCCCTGGACGACATGAAGGAGTCGATTTCTTCCAACGATTCGAAAAATCTCTTTAGCACCAGCCCGCGACTGAGCCACTTAATCTCCGTGTAGTACAGGAGGCTACCATATTGGCTGTCCAGCTCATAGAGCAAGGTTGTGAACTCGCTGTGGTTCAGTCCCCGGGAGCATATCCAGTTCACGGAGTTCACTACCACGTCCATGACGTGGTCCATCTTCAGCTTCTGAGCACAGAGTGATTCCGGATGAATTATACAACAGAGGGACTTCAGTTCCGCACCCTTGCAGAACGTGGCCACCCTGCTCTTCAGTTTTGTGACAAGCCCGTTATTGGCATCCACCATCGCCGGGGTGCCAGTGGAGGCCACGCTTACTAATTTCGACCAGTCGATACAGAACTTTTTCAGACTCTTCTCAACACGCGAAAAGATCTCGTTTCCAGATTTTGTACCCGTCATGGGCACTGTGTCCAGAAGTTCTTCGGACACATCGAAGTTCTCATCGACGCCGCGGATGAAAATGGCCAACTGGGTGGTATTATTTATATCCGTGATCTCATCGATTGCGATAGAATATGCCACAAAAGACCTGATTTTTTCACGTAACTTCTCCCATAAGCTCCCAGCCAGGTCCTCCACAGGCTGCACAGGGGATTTCTGGGTTGGACTTGCGTTTGCCAACACTTGTTTTTGCTCAGGACACTCGGTGTCTGACGAGCCTAAGAGATACTTTCTGAGCCCTTTTTTCAGCTCGTGAAGCTTCTCGTCACGCATTCTTTCCGTATACTGGTCGTAGTGCTTGCTGTGGTTGGTTTGATAGTGGCGTCTTAGGTTATATTCTTTGGACACAGACATGCTTTGTTTGCATATGAGACATGTTGGAATATTCTGTACTTCCACGAAGAAATACGCTCTCTCCCACTTTTCTTGAAACACACGGCCCTCTTGGTCTATCTTTCGTTTTCCCACTTTTGACAGAGACAGGGAGACAAAAATATTTCACTTTTCTCTTAACGTTACTATGAGGAAAACAACAGCAAATGCTTGATGAGGCACGTGAGGGAGGAAGCGGGTGGGGTGGGGTGTGGTTAACAGGAGGGTGACCCACCCTGCAGAGAGGGACGGCTGACCCTCAACTCCAGCAAACTGCTGCCACGCCAGCTGTGGCCAGACGTCGTCTCAAAAAAAAAAAAAAAGAAAAAAGAAAAAAGGAAAAGAATAAAAAGAAAACCAAAGTATTCTATTAAAATGCTCCATTTTTCTTCCCAAATGCATCTGACTTTTTTTTTTTTTTTGAGACGGAGTTTTGCTCTGTCGCCCAGGCTGGAGTGCAGTGGCGCAATCTCGGCTCAATGCAACTTCCACCTCGCGGGTTCAAGTGATTCTTCTGCCTCAGCCTCCTGAGTAGCCGGGATGACAGGCGACCGCCACCACACCCACCTAAGTTTTGCATTTTTAGTAGAGATGAGGTTTCACCATGTTGTCCAGGCTGGTCTCGAACTCCTGACCTCAGGAAATCCACCTGCCTCAGCCTCCCAAAGTGCTGGGATTACAGGCGTGAGCCACTGCACCCAGCCAGATCTTCAGGTTTTCTTTTTCTAAAGAAAACCTGAAGACTGACTTTTATGAAAGAGTGCCTGGTTTTTCAATGTTGGCCACTATTCCTTTTTTTTTTTTTTTTTTTTCGAGACAAAGTCTCACTCTGTCATCCAGGCTGGAGTGCAGTGGTGTGATAATGGCTCACTGCAACCTGGAACTCCCTGGGCTCAGGCGATCCTCCCACCTCAGCTCCCCAGTTGCTGGGGCTACAGGCATGCACCACCACACCCAGCTTTTTTTTTTTGTAGAGCTGGAGTCTTGCCATGTTGCCCAGGCTGGTCTGAAACTCCTGGGCTCAAGCGATCCAGCCGCCTTGGCCTCCCAAAGTGCTGAGATTACAGGAGCCACCATGCCTGGCCTCATCCTTATTTTTAAAAATACATGAGCCAAACAAAAGACACCTTTGATGAGGTTCAGCACATAGCTGTGCTTGTTACGTCCAGTTTAAACAGGAATTATTTGATAATATGTTTGCATTTTCTTTTTAGAGACAGGGTCTTGTTCTGTCACCCAGGCTGGAGTGTAGTGTTGCAATTATGGCTCTCTGCTGTCTCAAACTCCTGAGTTTAAGTGATCCTCCTGCTTCAGCCTGCCAAGTAGCTGGGGATACAGGTATAAGCCACTATGTCCAGCTAATTTTTAAATTTTTTGTAGAGATGGGGTTCTTGCTGTGTTGCCCAGGCTGGTCTCGAACTCCTGGCTTCAAGCAATCCTCTTGCCTTGGCCTCCAAAAGTCCTGGGATTATAGGCGTGAGCATTTTAACATATTTTCTCATTTGATTCCCAAGAAAACTTTGAAATAACAGAGATGGAAATGAGCACAGAAAAGTCATATGATTTTTACCTACTGTGAGTCTCAGACGACAAGGGTGACAGCCACAGAACCACACAAAACTCATACATATAAGTGTGTTCAAGTGTACAGGGGCTAGTGTTTTAGATTTAAAGAACCTGGCCACCCTTCAGGTAATCAAGGTATTTCCAGAGTACATATACATAAAAGTGCATCTTAAGAAACTCAGGCCCCGTACAGTGGCTCATGCCTATAATTTCAGCACTTTGGGAGGCTGAGGCAGGAGGATTGCTTGAAGCCAGAAGTTCAAGGCCAGCCTGGGAAATATAGCGAGACCCCATCTCTCCAAAAAAAAAAAAAAAAAATTAGCTGGGCATGGTGGTGCTGTCCCAGCTACTCTGGAGGCAGAGGTGGGAGAATTGCCTGAGGGCAGGACTTCCAGGCTGCAGTAAGCTATGTTCACCCCACTGCACTCCAGCCTGGGCGACAGAGACCTTGTCTCTAAAAAAACCCCAATAATAATAATAATAACATAAATAAATAAAGCTATTATAAAAGATCAAAAAATCATTTAGCAATCAGATGCATTTGGGAAGAAGAATGGAGCATTTTAATAGAATACTTTGGTTTTCTTTTTTTTCTTTCTCTCTTTTTTTTTTTTTTTTTTGAGATGGAGTCTTGCTCTGTCACCAAACTGGAGTGCAGTGGCACGATCTCGGCTCACTGCAACCTCCCACTCCCTGGTTCAAGTGATTCTCCTGTCTCAGCCTCCTGAGTAGCTGGGATTACTACTCATTAGTAGTAGTAATCCCAGTGGTGGCACGCGCCACCATGCCTGGCTAATTTTTGTATATCTAGTAGAGACAGAGTTTCATCATGTTGTACAGAAGGGTCTCCATCTCCTGACCTCATGATCCGTCCACCTCGGCCTCCCAAAGTGCTGGGATTACAGGCGTGAGTCACCACGCCCAGCCTACTTTGGTTTTCAAATGTTACATTAGGAGGTTCCCTGGTTGACTCATGCTCGTGAGAACACCTCTCCATATTCTACTTGACAGGATACTGATTCACTTGCAAGGGCTCCAGGGAAGATATTAAGAATATTTAACAGGGTGGGGGTGGGTAGGGAGAGGGAGAGCATCAGGAAGAATAGCTAATGGATACTGGGCTTAATATCTAGGTGATAGGTTGATCTGTGCAGCAAACCACCATGGCATACATTTACCTATGTTTAACAAACCTGCACATCCTACACATGTACCCTAGAACTTAAAATAAGTGTTGAAGGGGGAAAAAAAAAAGAGAGAACATTTAAGTAGCAGAATGCCTGGGCATTGCTCAATCAGAACAGATGCTGAGCCGGGTGCGGTGGCTCACATCTGTAATCCCAGTACTTTGGGAGGCCAAGGTGGGTGGATTACTTGAGGTCCGGAGTTTGAGACCAGCCTGGCCAACATGGCTAAACTCTGTCTCTACTAAAAAATACAAAAATTAGCCGGATGTGGTGGCACACACCTGTCATCCCAGCTAATCGGAAGGCTGAGGCAGGAGAATCGATTGAACCTGGGAGGCGGAGGTTGCAGTGAGCCAAGATCGCGCCACTGCACTCCAGCCTGGGTGACAGAGCGAGACTCTGTCTCAAAAAAAAAAAAAAAAAAGAACAGATGCTAATCTCAGCACTGGAAGGGTTCTGGGGGGCCCCTGCTGTACCAGGTGGAATCCCTTTTGCTTCAGCACTGTAGGGAGGTCAAGCCAAGGTCTAGAGGTGGGGAGGTACTACAGCGGGGCTGGGGGCCAAACAGGCACTATTTGTCAACTAACACAGAGGAGATCGGTACTGTGATCCTGAGCGCAGCTGTGCGGGTGGCCTCAGGGGAGCCCCCGCCACATAGCACACTTGAATAGTATGCCACATTGGCCATGCGCAGTGGCTCATGCCTGTAATCCCAGCACTTTGGGAGGTGGAGGTGGGCAGATCACTTGAGGTCAGAAGTTCGAGACCAGCCTGGTCAACATGGCAAAAATATCTCTACTAAAAATACAAAAATTAGCCAGGCGTGGTGGCACGCGCCTATAGTCCTAGCTACTCAGGAGGCTGAGGCAGGAGAATCGCTTGAACCTGGGAGGGGGAGGCTGCGGTGAGCTGAGATTGTGCCATTGCACTCCAGCCTGGGTGACAGAGCGAGACTCGTCTCCAGAAAAAAAAAAGAGTGTGCCACATCACACGTCACACTCATGGTGTGATATACATTATGCTTCTTCAGACTGTTGTATGAGAAAAAATGCCTGGTTAATCAAACTCAAGTAACAGAGTTATCTAACTTTATCACATGCAGGAAAAATAAAGCATGCATCAAAGGCCGTGTACTTGGGTCCCAGTCTCAAGGAAGCAAAGACCCTGAGCGCCCACCCAGACACTTCCCGCGGCCCAACATTGCCAGAACGTTCTTCTCACCATGCAGAATACTCACCATTACTGAGCTCAAGCCCTGGAAGCGGCCTGAAGAGAGAGACACATTGATAAATGCGACAAGCTCATGTTTCCTCTTTTGTCCACTTAGTTTTATTATTTTTTAAATTTTTACTTATTTATTTTTTTACAGAAGAATATTTATTTATTTATTTATTTATTTATTTTGTTTTTGTTTTTTTGAGACAGAGTCTCCCTCTGTCACCCAGGCTGGAGTGCAGTGGCCCGACCTCAGCTCACTGCAAGCTCCGCCTCCCGGGTTTACGCCATTCTCCTGCCTCAGCCTCCTGAGTAGCTGGGACTACAGGCACTCGTCACCACACTCGACTAATTTTTTGTATTTTTAGTTTCACCATGTTGGCCAGGCTAGTCTTGAACTCCTGACCTCAGGATATCTACCTGTAAAGGCATGAGCCACTGCACCGAACTTTTTGTTTTTGTTTTTATTTTGAGACGGAGTCTCACTCCATCACCCAGGCTGGAGTGCAGTGGTGTCATCTGGGCTCACTACAACCTCCGCATTCCAGGTTCAAGTGATTCTCCTGAAGTAGCTGGGATTATAGGCACGTACCACTACACCCGGCTAATGTTTATTTTTAGTAGAGATGGAGTTTCACCATGTTGGCCAGGCTGGTCTCGAACTCCTGACCTCAAATGATCCACTTGCCTCGGCCTACCAGAATGCTGAGATTACAGGCCTGAGCTACCATGCCCGGCCTATTTATTTATTTTTGGAGATGGAGTCTCACTCTGCTGCTCAGGCTGGAGTGCATTGGCGCCATGTCAGCTCACTGCAACCTCCACCTCCCAGGTCAAGCGATTCTCATGCCTCAGCCTCCTGAGTAGCTGGGATTAGAGGCACCCGCCACCACACCCAGCTAATTTTTGTATTTTTAGTAGCTACGGGGTTTCACCATGTTGGCCAGTCTTGCCTCAAATTCCTGACCTCAGACGACCTGCCCACCTCAGCCTCCCAAAGTGCTGGGATTACGGGCGTGAACCACCGTGCCCGGCCCCACTTAGTTTGATTGGACAAACTTTTGCGGAGTGTTAACTCTATGCTAGGTGCTGTGTGAGCTAAAACTGGGACGGGCTGCCCGTGATCACCGAGGAACAAGGACATGGATGCATCTCAAGGAAGCAGAAGATGATGAAGTCACTGCGGGAACAAACCCCCAGCCCAAGTCACGGGGCAGACACGGGGCACTAGGCTGCCACGTGCCCACCTTGGGCAAGTCAGAGTTTCCAGATTCATTCTCTTGACTCACTTACCTGATGACTGTGAATTTGATAAACTCAGCTGCCTCCAAGATCCTCCTCATGGAACTGATTTCCAGGTAGCCGGGGGCCTTGAATACCACCCCCGGGGGCATGCCATCAATCACCACACAGCCAGGGTTGAATGTGATCTTCCTGTAGGGAACTTTCACAGGGAAATCCACGCCAATTGCTTCACCTGTGACAGGATGAGCAGCATAAAACCAGCTGAGTTTGGCTGGGCGCGGTGGCTCACACCTGTAATACCAGCCCTTTGGGAGACTGAGGCGGGTGAATCACTTGAGGCCAGGAGTTCGAGACCAGCTATGGCTAACATGGCGAAACCCTGTCTCTACTAAAAATACAAAAATTAGCTGGGCGTGGTGGCGCATGCCTGTAATCCCAGTTACACGGGAGGGACCCAGGAGGCAGAAACTGCAATTAGCTGAGATCGCCCCACTGCACTCCAGCCTGGGAGACAGAGCGAGACCCTGCCTCAAAACAAAACAAAACAACAACAACAACAACAAAAACACAAATAAAACTAGCTGAGTTTGTTCCTTACATTTCCTAAACCAGAATTTAGAAGCATCAAATGACAATACTTATAATCAGTCATTATTATTTTCCAGTGGTACTACGATGTGTGAATATAATTTTAACATTTTCAAATTGGCATGGGTAGTAGGCAAACTCAGTTTCTCCATCCATTACACAGGGTTATCCTGGCGCCTACCTGAAAGGTTTTATGTGAGGATTAAATGATCAAATACATGTTGAGCACAAAAAATAATACGCAAGGTGAGCACTCAGTAAAATAAAGATAGCTATTATTATTATTGTAATTAGTCAATGCTACCACGCAAAAGCTCTTCTGTAAAAGACACATTGACTAATTTATATCATAGCTCTTTCACAAAAAGATCAATTTCTTCTTTTTCTTTTTTTTTTCCTGAGACAGGGTCTTGCTCTGTCGCCCAGGCTGGAGTGCAACAGCGCGATCTCAGCTCACTGCAACCTCCACCTCCCAGTTTCAAGCGATTCTCGTGCCTCAGCCTCCTGAGTTGCTGGGATTACAGGCATGCACCACCACACCTGGCTAATTTTTTGTATTTTTAGTAGAGATAGGGTTTCACCATGTTGGCCAGGCTGGACTCGAACTCCTGGCCGCAAGTGATCCAACCACCTTGGCCTCTCAAAGTGCTGGGATTAAAAGCGTGAACCACTGCGCCCAGCCAAGATCAATTTCTTGTAAGATAAAGTAATTTTTTTTTTTTTTACAGACCTGGGGGTCACTTTGTTGCCCAGGCTGGTCTCAAACTCCTGGGCTCAAGTGATTCTCTAGCCTTGGCCTCCTGAAGTGCTGGGATTACAGGTGTGAGCCAATGCACCTGGCCAAGTATTCTTTTAAAAAGAAGTATTTTAAGTATATGAATTCTGGACATAAAAAGATATAAAAACTTACCAAATTTTCGGCTAAAGAGGTCATTCACTTGTTCTCTTAGCTGTTTAATCTTTTCAATGCTTGATAATCTTTCCTTCTCATTATCTAAAAATAATTAAACAAATAAACAAATCAAGGTTATTTATGTATTTTCTCCCAAGAGAGCTATTGGGAGAAATGCCTGTTAGCCCCCGAGAAAGTGCTTTACCTGGATTGTTATTCAGTTTACTTTTAGCAATAATTAAGCATTTTGGAAATTTGGAAATGGAAGCCATTATAGATAATACAGAATTTTCCAAATCATAACCCTATATAAACATACTACATATTACTTTTAAGTAATATTTTCAATATCATACAAGACAAGGATGTTTACCTTCACCACCACTTTTCAGCCTTAAAATAGAAATCTTAGCCAATGAAATATGACAAGTAAAAGGAATAAGAGGTACTAGGGGCCGGGCGCGGTGGCTCAAGCCTGTAATCTCAGCACTTTGGGAGGCCGAGATGGGCGGATCACGAGGTTAGGAGATCGAGACCATCCTGGCTAACACGGTGAAACCCCGTCTCTAGTAAAAAATACAAAAAACTAGCCGGGCGAGGTGGCGGGTGCCTGTAGTCCCAGCTACTTGGGAGGCTGAGGCAGGAGAATGGCGTGAACCTGGGAGGCGGAGCTTGCAGTGAGCTGAGATCTGGCCACTGCACTCCAGCCTGGGTGACAGAGCGAGACTCCGTCTCAAAAAAAAAAAAAAAAAAAAGGGATCTGGATTAAAAGAAAAGGAATATTTTTTGTTTTTTTTTTTTTTTTTTTTTTTTTTTTTTTTTTTTTTTACAGACCTGGGGGTCACTTTGTTGCCCAGGCTGGTCTCAAACTCCTGGGCTCAAGTGATTCTCTAGCCTTGGCCTCCTGAAGTGCTGGGATTACAGGTGTGAGCCACTGCACACAGCCAATTTTTGTATTTTTTGTAAGAGATGGGGTTTTGCCATGCTGTGCAGGCTGGTCTCAAACTCCTGGGCTCAAGTGATCCTCCTGCCTCAGCCTCCCAAAGTGCTGAGATTACAGGCACATGCCACCATGCCTGGCCCTTTTTTTGTTTTTATTTTTTAGATATTTTTCAACACTTTAAAACTTTATTTACTTTTGAATAACTAAAGCAATCACATGGCTCAACACTGAAGAAGAGTAATACACAGAAACATCTCAAATGTCTCTCTCCCATCCCTATCTCAGCTGTCAGTTTCCTTCCCTGGAGGAACTATGTTATTAGATTCTCTTGTATATTTCCAGATATATTTTACATACACATATTCAGAAAAGAAGACTATTATTATTATTATTTATTTTTTTGAGACGGAGTCTCGCTCCTGTCGCCCAGGCTGGAGTGCAGTGGCGCCAATCTTGGCTCACTGCAAGCTCCGCCTCCGGGTCATGCATTCTCCTGCCTCAGTCTCCTGAGTAGTGGGAATACAGGCGCTCCGCCACCATGCCTGGCTAATTTTTTGTATTTTTAGTAAGGACGGGTTTTCACCGTGTCTAGCCAGGATGGTCTCGATCTCCTGACCTCGTGATTCACCCATCTCAGCTTCCCAGAGTGCTGGGATTACAGGCGTGAGCCACCGCGCCCGGCAGGAAGATTATTAATGGTGGGCAACAAAACATTTCACCTCTGTGGCCAATTCCAGTTCAGCCACAGCTGGTGCTCGGTGCTGCCTGCTCTGAGATGCATTTTCCAGGTAATGCCTGGGCTTGGCCAGGAGAAGCAAAATATCTGGTTAACAATGTCTGATACGAGCAAGATGCTTGGTGTGTAGCAACTTGCTGCATATTTTATATTCCCGAACTGTCATTTCTTAGTTGTCAGGCTGAACTAAGTGAAAAATGACAGGTCCAAGAGACCACCCTATGTCAAAAAAGAATTCAGACAAAAGGAAAAATGTAACATTAGTCCATACCTGGAACAGTCACTTGAACGATGTTAAGATCTTCAACACCTGCTGCAGAGTTTGTAACACTGGATGAATTTGTGTTTCCTTAAAACAGAGGTTGAAATTTAGAATTTACCAAGAATAAAGCCAATTCGCCTTTAAATATGTCTAAGTACTGCTTTGATCAGAAGCCCAGACTGATTTTTTTTTTTGAGACAGGTTCTTACTCTGTCATCCAGGCTGGAGTGCAGTGGTATGATCCTAGCCCACTGCAGCCTCTACCTCCCATGGTCAAGTGATCCTCCCACCTCAGCCTTCTGAGTAGCTGGGACCACAGACATGTACCACCATGCCTGGCTAATTTTTTTATTTTTTTTTTGAGATTGAGTCTATCGCCCAGGCTGGAGTGCAGTGGTGCGATCTCAGCTCACTGCAACCTCTGCCTCCCAGGTTCAAGCGATTCTCATGCCTCAGCCTCCTGAGTAGCTGGGATTACAGGAGCCCACCACCACCCCCAGCTACTATTTGTATTTTTTTAGTAGCGATGGAGTTTCACCATGTTGGTCATGCTGGTCGAGAACTCCTGACCTCAACTGATTCACCTGCCTGGGCCTCCCAAAGTGCTGGGATTACAGGTGTGAGCCACCACACCTGGCTCTAATTCTTGTATTTTTAGTAGAGATGGGGTTTCGCTGTGTTGGCCAGGCTGGTCTTGAACTCCTGGCCTCAAGGGATCCACCTACCTGGGTCTCCCAAAGTGCTGGGATTACCCAGGTGTGAGCCACCACACCCAGCTCTAATTTTTGTATTTTCAGTAGAGACGGGGTTTTGCCATGTTGGCCAGGCTGGTCTCGAACTCCTGGCCTCAAGGGATCCACCCACCTGGGTCTCCCAAAGTGCTGGAATTACAGGTGTGAGCCACCACGCCAGCCCTAAATCACACTTTCAATTTCACTTCTTTTAGATACTTGCACTTAAACTGAGTTCACCAGCTGCAGGCCTGAGCGGTTACTTTTGATATCTGTCTGTCCACTCCAGTAGGAAAGGGGCTATGTGTGAGTGAATCGTCCTTTCCTTTCCATTCTCCCCGCTTATGTACCCTCCACCCTTCATTCTTTCCTTACTTGAACACAGCACAGACGAGGCCCAGTTGTGGGTCAGTGCTAATGTGAAAGACTTAAAAAAATTTTGTTTTAATTTTTATTTTTAGAGATGGAGTCTTGCTCTGTTGACCACACTGGAGTGCAGAGGCATAAACACAGCTCACTTCAGCCTCGAAATCCTGGGCTCAAGCGATCCTCCCACCTCAGCCTCCCAAGTAGTTGAGACTACAGGTGTGTGCCACCATGCCTGGCTAATATTTTTGTTAGTTTGTTTTGAGGCAGGATCTCACTCCCATCATGCGGGCTGGGGTATTGTAGCACAATTACAGCTCACTGCAGCCTCGACTTCCCTGGGCTCAGGTGATTGGCCCACCTCAGCCTCCCGAATAGCTGGGACTACAGGTGTGTGCCACCATGCCCTGCTAATTTTTTGTATTTTTAGTAGAGACAGGGTTTCACTATGCCCAGGCTGGTCTCAAACTCCTGGGATCAAGTGATCTGCCCACCTCAGCCTCCCAAAATTGCCTGGGGATACAAGGCATGAGCCACCATGCCTTGCTAATTTTTTTTACTGTTTATTTTTTGCAGAGATGGCGTCTCACTATGTTTGCCCAAGCTTATCCTGAACTCCAGGGTTCAATGATCCTCTTGCCTTGCCTCTCAAAGTCACAAAGTGCTGGGATTACAAGCATGCACCATCATGCCTGGTTATTATTTTTCTTTTCCTTTCTAATTTTTTTGCACCAGCCTAATTATGTTGTTCCTTACACACCCCCAAAGTACGGGCCCCTAATGGATATGGCGGCTGCTATTATATATACACACAATTAGAGATTCAATCTCCTTCTCACAATCGTTTTTTTTTTTTTAGATGGAATATCTCGCTCCTGTCACCCAGTCTGGTGCAGTGGTAAGATCTCGAACTTCACTGGCAACCTCCGCCTTCCCCAGGTTCAAGCGATCCTCTTGCCCTCGCCTCCGGGTAGATGGGATTACAGATGTGTGCCACATGGCCTGGGGCTAATGTCTGTTGTTTTTAGTAGATACGGGGTTTCACCATGTTGTCCAGGCTGGTCTTCAAATCCTGGGCTCAGCCAACACACCTACCTGGCCTCCCAAGTGCTGGGGATTTACAGGGCCTTGAGTTCCACTGAGCTCAGCCATCCTATTGGCAATAAATCCTGTTAGAATGAAAATCATACTGGCAAGGCGCGTTTGAACTAACTTCGATTTCACCTCGGCTTCAGGTCCTCATTTGGTTCTTCTGAAGGCACCAGAGGAGTGGAATCTTGAAAAAAAAATTTCTAAAATGACATTATTATTAAGTATTCTCCTCTATTCCAACAACATTCAGCTCCTATACCCAAAAAGTAGCTATCTGCGCTTTTAAAATATACTTCATATATAATAAACATAATTTAATTTTATAGCAATAATAATAGGATAATAAACAGTAATGAAAGCCGGGCACGGTGGCTCACACCTGTAATCCCAGCAACTTTTGGGAGGCCAAGGGGGGTGGATCACTTGAGGTCAGGAGTTTGAGACCAGCCTGGCAACATGGTGAAACCTCATCTCTACTAAAAATACAAAAATTAGCCAAGTGTGGTGCGCACGCCTGTAATCCCAGCTACTCAGGAGGCTGAGGCAAGAGAATTGCTTCAACCTGGGGTGAGGCTGCAGTAAGA